GATGGAGGAAGGTGGCCGTCTATGGCAGGGTAGCTGCCAGCCTGGCCACCAAAGGCCACATGCGAACCCAGGAGCAGGTTTGCATGACAATCAAGTTGGTCTGGCAAGACCCCCCGACCCTGAGCCCTGAGCTTCCCCTCCCCCTTCTTCCCCTTACTTTCCCCTTCCAGATTCCTCCTCCCAGGTTTCCCCCTCCCGTCTCCTACCCTCTCTTCTCCCCTCTCCCTCCTCCTTTCCCCAGTCTCACCAGAGTTTCATTCCCTTCCTCCCAGTTTTGTTAAATATAGAGCGTTCGTGTTCATGGAAATACGTGTATTTAACACCAGGAAGGGGGATTAGGGAGGCATACGTGGAAGGACATGAGGGAGGAATGAGGCACAAGCCCCCAGTGGGGAAGACCAGGGAGGCTCTTAATGCTCCTTAGGGTGGAAGCTCTCCCGCAGGGCCTCCTGGATACTGACAGCCCCCCAATGGACCTCCCAGATGGCAGCCTGCAGAAAGTGCAGCCAGGCTCACAGCAGTGCGTCCAAGAGAAGCACCAGAGTGCTCAGGGGCAGCTCTGGATCCATGTTGCAGAGTGCTGTGGTGTCCCAAGTGAGGGCAACCAGAGCACACACAGACAAAATGCTTTGCTGTCCCTCATTGAGGTAGACAAGCAAGCAGGAAAACCTGAGAACTGGCTGTCCGGGGGGGTCCCTTTAAGCACAGACCTCAGTTGGCCTCAGGTAGCAGCCCCACACAGTAAGTCCGGAACTGGTTCCGACCAGCCTTAAATGCAATTCAGAGTCCACTCAGTGTGGACGCACTATTTCGAAATAGCAAAATGCTATTTCAAAATGCATTTTGTGGGTAGACGCGTTATTTCGAAATAAGCTGTTTCGAAATAACTATTTCGAAATAAGATATTTTGAAATAACACTGTAGTGTAGATATACCCTCAGCTACTTCATGCATATTTAGCCTCTGTAAGATTGTTCAGAAGCCAGTGTTTTCCATCACCGAGTCATAACTGTTGTTCTTTAAGGGCCTGGTTCAAAGCCCACTGAAGTCCCTAGAGTCTTTGATTTCAATGGACTTTGGATAAGGTCAGTTTTTTGAATGTTTCTGAAGCCGAACACAGTATTCCACATGTGGTCACAGCAGAGCCATCTATAAACATATTGTCAACTCTCTGCTGCATGAGGTGATGCCTTTGCAGTTCTAAATTGCATTGTGCTTTTATGTCTAGTATCATGTTACAAACTCCTGTGTAATTTGCCGAAATATTACCTCAAGTTCTTCTTCAGTCTTATGCTTCTGCATCTCTAGCTCCCATAAGCATGCCTGTTTCCGATTGTTTCTTTCCCAAATGTATTTCAAGTTAAATCTGACTTTGTTTTCTGTCCATTTTGCTAATCTCACCAGGCTTCAATGCAGTATTTCTTTCTCCTCCTCAGGATCTGCAGCTTTATCACAGGTTTTGATAATCTGAACATGTAATTAATGTGCTGCTCACTCCCTCTTCTAAATCATTAATGAAGGCAATACCTAAGACAGGGCCTAATGCTGATCCCCATGAATCCCCAGCATGTGCTACATACTAATAGTTTTGAACAAAGGATGCCAGAGATGAGCTTTGTCTACCCAAATCAGCTCTCAACACAATATGTTTAAAAGGACAACTCAACAATAGACAATTTGGTCAGGGGAAACCTTGGAGCTCCTTGAGGAATTAAAGCTCTTGCTGGGAACTCACTGCTTTGGTCTTTTGTGTCATCAGGGTCTTATCACTGAGCTCTTGCTCTCTATTTGACTTTCTGGCATTTTGCAGCTTCAGTCTCAAGACTCTCAGTATAGTTTGTCAAATTTCTTCCCATCACACCCAGCCATTCACAGACATGTCAAAGTCCCTAGTGCCAAAAAGGCAAGCCAGATTTTATATATATGGATATGGACTGCTATCCATAGAGATACACCAGTTAAACTAAAGTTTTGTAATTTTAAAGCAGTTTTGTTAAACATGTGCAAAAGGTTGTGCGGACATGCTTCTGAGGACAATATACTAATGGACAGAACAATGAACTGAGACGTGGGATACATGGGTTATGTTCCTGGCTCTGCCTCATTGCACAGGTTTATTATTATTATTGTTATTGTTATTATTTTTTGTTGTTGTTATTTTATTTTATTAATATATTATATATTAGTAGCAGTGGTAGTATCATCATCATTCATATTTATTACTATTATTACTATTATTATATATTATTATTTGAACCAACCTTAGTTTGGTGTTAACACACAATAAGCCACTCTGAAGCTGAAATAAAAGTGAATCCCCAGGAGTTTGCTCTAATTTAACTAAACCAGCTTAATTAAAACTGCAAGTTTGTGTTTAGGCAAGGCTCTCATTTGATTATTCACTGTTCCATTTTCCCACAATTATGTCAGTCCGGGAACTTTTGACCAATTACTCCCAGATTTCTGATTTTCTTTAGGTTTTCTGTTGTGTGGATATAAATCAAATGCAAATTTGATTGAACTCCTGTTGTACTGTTGACTTTTTAAAACGAAAATATCAACAAAGCTTCATAAGTGAAACTTCTCCAAGACATCAGTATCTCCAAAGTGTCAGCCTTAAATACACAGCCGTTTTAAAAGATGCATTATTTTTATTTTATTAATAAACCAAGTGCCTGATTCTCCACTGCTTTGCAGCTTGTATATGCATTTATACCTGGGCAAGATGGGGATAAAATGTTGCTAATTGCAACATACTATATCTATTTGACAGAGTGTTCTATGTCATTTTTTCCTGTGGACAAAGTAGTATGTAGTCAAAGACTGTATCATAATGCATATGCACAACAGGGTCCAATTATTTTGCACAGGCTATCTTAATTCTAGTATTGCCTAACTTTTGAATGCTTGATTTTGCAATTTGAACATTTTTGTAGTATAGTTTTTGTATGCAATAAACGGTTTCATTTGGTATAACCCAGACTTCTCCAAACTCTGGAGGAATCAACAATGTATTGTAGATGCCTGCCAAGTATAAGCCAATTTTATAAGCATTCTCATCTATCTTTCTGTCTTTTAGATTTGCCCCAGGGTGCACTAGAGGAAACAGAAAAGCCATGAAAATCTGAAGAGGATCCTCCGGAGGATTTTTCTATCCGATGTCAAATGCATTTACAATACAGCTGTACCAATCCATGTTACTCTGCTCTAAATGAAATCTTCAGAAGGAGACAGTCCCACTAATTGTACAAAAAAGTTTATTAGCATAAAATTGATTAAATCTCCTTGCCAACTGTAGTCTTAGTATCCATTCTCTGGATAAAGCCTAACCAATTATCAAATGGCTGTAGCAAATGTTAATCTGCAATAATTAGCCTGTCATAAAGATCTTGTTGACTGATCAAAAACTATTACACACAGTTAAAAGCAACTTTTGTTTCATGGTTTTATCTAATTATTTTTAGATATTCATTGCCATTCTCATAATGGTACAGTCTGAACAAAAAATAGCCATCTCCTTCCCTCCTTTGCTAACCAATCAGAATTTCCACACAGCTGAATTCACAACCAGAAAAAAAGCATGTAATCCAACCAGGCTTCTCTGTCCCTCTTGTCCCTGATTTATACTTCTGCTCTCAGAAGATACAGTGTAAAATATGGTTATGTCAAGTGCAAAATATCTCCTTCACTTTTCCTAGTAAATAAGTCAAGCGAATAAAGATTCTTACATTGTCATTACCTCAAGCACTTTGACACATGTATCTTATTGTGTTTTTTACTGACACATTAAATATGATGGTACCTTTTGTTATTATTAGGAATCAGTCTATTCTGGTTTGAGCCAAGATTTTCAGATGTAACCAGTCATTACGAGTGCCTTAATTTTTCTGAACCCAATCTGAAACAGTTCAAAGGGGGTCTGATTTTCACAAGGGTTGAGCTCTTTGAAAACCAGGTCCTGTTAAAGTATCTACAAATGGGAAATCCTAAAATAGAGGCACCCAAAATTACCTTTGAAAATCTTGGCTTTGTTTTTTCCGCACCCCTGGCTGACATAAGATTCACTGACAAAAGCACCGGTGTGGACAGCACTGTGTCAGTGGGAGTGCATCTCCTACTGATATAGCTACCACCTCTCATTACGAGTGGTTTAATAGTGACGGCCAGTGGTACAGTCCCCCTTCCCTGCTTTTTTGGTTTACACAGGGTGGGGGGTTGCCGGAAAAAAACACGTCTTGGCTACTTTCACTTTTGAAAGCGAGCTCGGAAGAAGATATGCAAATTCTGGGGGCATTTGCATATCCTCTTTTGATGCTTTAGTGTAGCCTTGATGAGCCCTCACTGTTCTGACTTCTCATCCACAGAAGAGATTCTTCCAGCTCAGCTGTGAAACCTGTTGGATGGGAGAGGGACAAAAGCAAGTTTATATTACTAGTATATGTGCTGTTTCTAGTCTGTAGTTAAAGAAGGAAGTTTATTTTCAAGGACTTCAGTCCAGTAACTTTCTGAAGAACTAAATCCATTTTCAACCCCTTTCTCCTCTCTCACCTTCCAAATATAGTTTCCTTCTTCCTATACCAACTGTGCATTTCCAATTAGTCTCCAATGCAGTCCCATGGTGCTGCTCTATCAGGATATCAACAATATTTATATTACTGCAGTTATACAGCGTTGTCTTTTGCAGCAGTTTTTTTTAAAGCGAGCCAAGCAGCTAGGGAGCAGGTGGTCTGAGAACTGGAGTGAAGCTGTAGGGCTTCCATCCAGATGGCTTTATACCCTGGAAGATCTCAGGGAGCTGCTGTTCATGGAGGCCAGAAACCTCCCTTGAGGAAAATCTCCACTTCTCTGGGATGGAAAGATTTCCCCTCCTAAAGTGTTCTTCCCTCTCTCTCTCTCCCACGTTTTCCCCAGGAAAGCACTGTCTGACCCGTTGTAAGGAGACTCCACTGCTCTGCTAAAATTGCACAATAAAATAATCTCCTGTAGTGTCCACACATACACCTCAGTGACCAAAGAAAATCCATGGGGAACTAATCAATTACATTAGCTATTGGGCTTAAACTTTAACCACAAATGTCAAATCTTTTTTATGGTTTCAGTGGGTGCTAGGTAACCTAGAAAATTCAACTGCAATTACTATTAAAAATCCTTTCATGGTACCATAGAAGTACCATTACACTGTAGAATCCTGAACCAAAGAATCCTGTACTATTAAATACACATATATTATATGTGGGGAAAAAAAACATAGGGATTTAGTGTGATATATTACACTGTAATAATTGTCATTCTTAGGTTTGATTCAGTCATCCAAAACTGTCATTGACTTCATTGGGAGATTTGGGTAAGCAATGAGTAGAGGTTCATGTCCTTTGTGTTAAGTGCTTCTACTTATATTACATTTATTTGACATCAGTGAAACATGTTTATGTTTGTGTTGTTCCTGTTCGCCTATTTTACTCCATGGTCTACAGAAGGGGGAAAACATACTAGTTTAAAAAAAAAGAAAAAAAGAAAATTATGCATAGTGGTATTTTATGGTCTCTTTACAACATGATGAATTATGCCATTGAATAGTATCATCAGGATTTAAAGCAGAAATATTTGCAATGAGTACAAAAACCATTTGTTTTTCCCATGGCCAAATAAGCCAGAGGAAATAAGTCGCTGCAATTTAGTGGCTTATACAACAGTGCAACAGGAAACAGTATGAAGAAGCTTTCATGTGATTATTCTTAATATGATTCTTTTCCACTTAAATCTGGTATTTGTGGTTGGAAAAAAAATTAAGGCGAAATTACAAGATTTTTTTTAAAGTTATCTAAGCCAAAAATATGAAGGAAGCACTGCTAATTTCAGGGAACCAAAGTTCAGTTCTCAACATCAATGTTGCTGAGACAAAAAAAGATATTACTGGCCAAGTCATTGTACAATGTATAAAACTTTGTACCAATACTCTGTCAGGTCTCATGCTGATAAGTAGACCACATTATTTCAAATTGAGGTTGAGATGTAAATACAATTTTCTTATTTAGAATGCTAGTTATTTATATGATAAGAAGGAATACTCCTATAAAAACTCTTATTTTCACTCAACCAAACTTTAATATACAGAGTGTCTATGCTTCATCAAGTTATTTGAAAATAATATTATATTTTTATGTGGTTATTGGAACAAAATAAAGTTTAAGCAATCATTTTGTTAAAATTAGTTTTAAACATATCTAAATGTAGAAATAGTGAGTGCATTCTGACAGTTTAATATCATCTTATCAGTGGTACCAACTATTTTTTTATTCAAAACTAAATTTGTTTTCTAAAATAAATCATAATATGAAAGTACATTTTATTTTCTTTGAACTGTTGTGTGTTTTGTAAAATTTATATGTTGAACAATATTTGACTGAGGGTTTTTTTTTTAATTTTGACCTTACATTTTAGAACAAAACACTTTTGGGGCTTGAATACAATCTTGAATTCAACCCAGCACACTTTTGTGGTTTACCTATTCCCAAACTGATTCTTCTGTCCATTTAGTGTTCACCTAAGATAAAGAAGAACAACATTTCTATAGTTTAATTAACTTGATTTCACTTTAATAATAGTATGTTTTTTCTTCTCTTCAACATTTATTGTAGAAACTGTATTAGAGGTATGTCTGAATGTAGTTATACTTGTTCTTGTTATACATATTAAAAGTAATTTACTGCCATGAACTTAGGTATGCTGAGCAGAGATTGTAATTTCCATGCAAAATCTTTCTGTAGAAAAAAATTACAGTCTATGCATCCTGCTTAATAAATATCTTTCCTTATCAACATATCCTATTTTCAAAGTCTTTCTTTAAAAAAACAAGCTGCAGAAGTATTTGCACAATACGTGATACGCTTCTGTGCCAAACTTCTGATATTGCTTTGTTTGAAAGTAGTCGAGTGTGCTGTTGCTTGCTATACAATTACTTTTGACACAAAAAATGTGTAAACACTGGCTAAACTGTAACACAGCATCCTTCCAATATTTACACATTATGTTTGCATGCATGCGTTAGCTGACATAATCGCTATGCAACCCTAGAGATCCTAAATTTTGCAAAACATGGATCATGTATCTTCATATGAATCATGATGTACCCTCACTGAGTGCCCTCAATTTGTGTTGGAAACAGTGAAAGATTCAGGGTGGTCAGTGTCTCACAGAAGGCAGGATTGGGGAAATAATTAGCAAATGAGATCCAGAGCTTCCCTGTCTTAAAATGCATGTTTTATGAAAACAGCCCATTCTGATTCATGAATTAAAAACAGGATGGACATTCTGGCAGGGGGTTAGATTAGATGACACTCATGGTCCCTTCTAATCCTATGGCTCTATCATTTTATGATGCATGTAAAGGTTGAAAAATATGGCTTGGTTTAGAGTCTGAAATTACTTCTCTACTTCATCTTCCTCTGCATTTCCAGTTCTTGCAACTATATGCAATAAACAATGTTAGGAGTTTCCAATATGACATTCTGTAAGACAAAACAAGTTTAGAGCCTGATATATCAAACACAGAGTTAAAAATAATGTTCTGAAAGATTATTTATTTGGGGATTTTGGTTTCTCTGCTTTGCTGATGTCCTGTGTGCCCATGTGTTGTAAATGACCAACAGATCACAGAACATATGACTAGTAGCTTTATTAGAATTAAATGTAGAAGAAGTGATTTAATTAGTCACAAGATGGAAGCATAACAGAGTAAAGTGATTGGACTAGCTATTTTCTAGCAACATGTCTTTGCCACAGTACTCTTTACATTGCTTTGGCCAGGAGCACAAAAGAAAGTGCAAAAAGCAGAATAATATCCTGTCTCTTTACTTGTTTTTAACTATTGTGGCATTTCTCTGATATTTCCATTTGTAGGGATCTGGATTGGCAATATAACATACTACTAGTTAGACTCAATCATTATTACAGATTGAAATTTCCTTCATAGTCACTCCTTGTGAATGCATTAGATAGATACACACAACATTTGAAGTTTCATTCTAAAACCCAGTTATTAAAAAGATAGGAAAAGCAGGTTTGAAAAAAATAACAGGTTACTTTAATAAGGACTAGATCAATAATTAAGGCATGTCTACACAGCAGGGGTAAAGCCAAAATAATCTATGCAACTTGAGTTACGTCAATTGCGTAGCCTAAGTCGAAATAGCTTACTTTGCCTTTTGATGCTGTTTATATAGCAGGAAGTCGAAGGAAAAACACTCTTCCTCCAACCTCCCTTACTCCTCATAAAATGAGGGTTACAGGACATTATTTTGACATTATGTTGAAATAACTGCTTGTAGTGTAGACACAAACTATGCTGTTTCAGAATAATGTCAGTTATTCTAAAATAATGCTGCTGTGTAGACGTACCCTAAAAGTCCTGGAAGGAATATAATCCCTCAGGCTTCAGGACATAAATCAAACACTAACATGGGTTAGGAAGAAAGTTTTCCTCTAGGCTGCTCTTTACTGAACTTCTTACATCTTCCTCTAAAAGGAGCTGGTATTGACTATTGTCTAATAAAAGATACTGACCTAGAGGGTCTGATCTAGAATGACAGTTCCTATATTCCTCTTCAGTATGCCAAAACAGCATTTTCCCCACGGGAAACAGTCTGCTCCAGTTTCCTGTTTTAAAGTTAATCTAACATATTTATCTGCCACCTTTTTGTAACATTTAAGACTTGGCAAAGTACCAATATAATGTATTTCTTCAGTGCCTGCCAGCACTACTGTAATGTTACATTGTCATTATAAAATCTTTCATTGGAAATTCGTAGCACTTGTTTTTGGAAAAAAAACAATTAAGAGTCCAAAGGAAAATTACACAGATAGCAGTGTGTTGTAAGAGCTTTTAATTCATTGTTAGGAGC